GATTTATATAGGTTTTGATTCTCCATCTATCATTATCTTGAACCTACAACAAGTGATGTCTTTTAGGCACGGTTTGCTGACTATCATTTTGACGAGCCTGTCTTCCCGCCATTAGGGGGAGAAAAGAAACAACCAACAGAGCGGCATGAAATTAATTGGAATGTCTTGGCTTTATCTCATTTTAATCCTCGAACAAATCAATGTGAACTAGAAGTTCAGGGGATCATTCTTCTCTCTTCGCGACGTCGTGTCTCGCTGTCTGATCTCCATAACCTATCCTTTATCTATATATACATACACACAATTATATATATATATATATATATATATATATATATATATATATATATATATATATATAGTATTCAGATGAAGAAGGTGAGGAGGTCAAGGCCTAGATTTGGGACATCGCCAGGGAAGCGAATCTCTTATCACGTTACGCTCGGAACGATTTCAACATGCACTCTAAGGCCATGATCAGAGTGGAATTTATTCTTTTCTTGAATTAGTTTGTAATTGATTGGTTTAGAATTTCTGAATTAGGCACACACTAAAATAAATAAGAAAAGGAAAGAAAGAAAGAAAAAGTCAGGGAGCAGCGGTTAAGTTTTGTTTTTTGTTTGTAATGCTCATATTCCATTTTTTCTGAAATTATGTGTTTTGTAACGAAGCCAGAGAACTAATGAGGATTTTTTTAAAAAAATTCACAATTGGGTCGCCTCCACTGCCGGCGTCAGAGGGCCGGGTTTACAGACAAGGGAAAAGAAAAATGTGCCTGAGAGAAGTTAAGTGGTTTGGTTTTTAAAATTACATAAACTTCCATAATTTTTATGAGGTAGAAGATTTTAGTGAGGGTACTTTTGTAAAATAGCTTTCCATTTATATATATATATATATATATATAATATAATATAATATAATTGTAAATTGCAAAGCATTTAGGGACAATTTAGTCTTGTAATCTAGTTTTGTAGGTTAAAGAACTCTTTTGACAAAGTCAAATGGTATTTTAGTTAATTTACATGGTGCCAGAGCTATGCATGTGATGGTTGATCAAGGTGTAAGTGAAAAACGTAACAAACATTTGCAGTATAAGTGATAGTAATTTTTGAAAGTTGTTTCAGTGTGATATTTGGCCAAACTTAAAGGGGTGTCAGTGAAATTAACCCATAAATATTTTGTAACTGTTTAAAATATAACAGGCCCAACCAAACATATTTTGGGTTGAAATTGGGCTACTGTAACAGGCCTAAAACATAAACATTAAAAACCAAACACAAACCAAACATAGCCATAGTTCAATTGAATTTCTATCTTACAATAAGAGTTCTTATATTCTAAAAGTAACAATGAAAAAAGAGATGGAGATAAAAGTAACAACCAAAAATATTGTATTTGTAAATATATAAGCAATAAGATTGGATCAAATATTTAGGACCCAAAATCGTGAATCGAATCGATCCCTGGTTTACTTATTTATAAAATCGCTATTGAATGATGCACTAAAAAATTAATCAGACTGTTGAATTCATAGATCGATCAAATGAACACTCCTAAATATTTAGTAGTTTTTAAAGATCGCAAGAGATAGGTTTGTCACGTCCTTACTAATATGTAGGGAGATTATACTACACAGTCCCGTAAGGATAACTCTATATGACGCCTGCATGAGATATCTTTTATTAATATTTAATGGAATAAATTTTAAATGGGAAGAGAGTGGATTTTCAACCCTAGAGGTTGCGCCACGCGAGTACCAAGGAGGACTCTACTTGGGGAGGTTTTAGGGCCTTCCACATTTGTGCAGAAAAAGAGGTTTCTAAAACATTGAACAATTTTAGAAATTAGTGAATTGAAGAAGATTTTAGAAGCACATGTAATGTTAGATAACTATAAATGGATGAGAGTGTGATTGGTAAAAAACAAGTTACTAGAGCAAGAGGGAAAAGCACAAGTGATGGCGCAAAGTTGTAAAGTGAGGCTAGAGGAGCAACACAATCTGAATGGTAGATGGTTTGTCTAGAATTTTTTGTTTTTTAAAGAAAATTTTGATTTTTAGTGACCAAAATATTGACTTAATGTAAGCCAAATTCTATACATTCTGGTGTTGATGTATGAATACAGTAGTGTTGATGGGTTTGAAGAGATTTAGTAATATATACCACAAGTGCCGTTAATTTTGAGAGTATCAGTATGATGGAGCACGGACTAGGGTTTATAAATTTTGAGCGTTCAAATTATAATGGAACAATGGATTGAAACGCATTTTAATATTCATTTTTATTGTTGAAAATAATAATAATAAAAAAATAGCACCAACCTTATATTTTTTTTTTTTTTTGTTAAAAGCACCCACCTTATATTGAAAACATGGAATTAATTAATTACTTCCCATCATTTACAGAGCTGTGTATCATTTGGATACTAAAATAAAATTAATTTAAGGTCATAATATACATTCTTTGGATTTTTTTTTGTTAAATGGATAAGCTTTATAGAAAGAAAAATATGTACAAAACAGGTCCAACAAACCTTAGCAGCAATTGGAACCACATCAAACCAGAAAGTCTTAGCAGACAACAAACTTAAAGAAAATTACACCATAATGAGAGGCATATAACAATGTAATCCAAATGAGCACTAACTAGAACCAACCAGAATGTCCAGCAAAATGCAGCATAGAAAATATCCAGTAGCACTGAAAGAATATTAACAGAAACCATGATTGTCCTCTGGCATAGGAGCAGCCCTGTATGAAGAGTTGTATGCATCAATGGATTGAATTTTCCTTATCTCAGCACCATTCTTTAACTTAAGAGACGCAAATCTTGCTCTAACGCAGCCCTTGATGAGGTGGATAATTTGGTTGGCTGCAGCAGACCTGTTCCTAAAAGCTCTTGCATTTCTCTCTTGCCAAATGAAGTAGATGGCACATGATAGCAGAAGTTTGTGAGTGATGAAGTACTGTTCCCGTGTCCATGTTGTTGAGCACCAAGCAATCAGATCCCTACATTCTTAGGATTGCATCAGACGTGTGCAAATGACTCATATTTATATGAATAACGTGGGCTTGGCAACTGCCCTATTATAAGTCCGTTCTTTTAGTCATTAATTATTGATAGCTAATGACTTTGGTCCAGTGATAAGGTGTGGCTGTCATGCAACGGAATCAGTCCAAATTCTGACACGTTTTAATCACTAATTTCATGTCGAGGCGTACGGATGGCTAGCAAAAGAAGTCGCTGCTTGTGACCAGTTTGATTTGGCCATGGATTTACACATAAAATACAAATTCATTCAGTGATTGGAAAATTACAATGTTACATGTATGCTAATCATACAACATATAATGAAGGCATCTTACTTATAGCAGCTCTTGCGGTAAAAGCAAAACTTCCTATAATGTACTGCTGCTGTTTACAATTTAGTGATCTCAGCTCTGTAGAACCCTAGCATACAACAGTAGTACAATGATGTCGTAGAGGACGGGCGGAAGGAGTTGGAAGCGATGTCGTAGAGGACAGAGTGGGCGGTGCAATCTTTGGGTTTGACGTTGTAGCGGCACTTGACGGTGGGGAGGGAGAGGTTGGAGAAGCCGAAATCGGTGCGGTCGAACATGATGGAGGAGATTGCCAATGCTTTCTTGGAGGAACACCCAGTTCCCGCCAGTTACAGTTGACAAATTGGAACTTGCATGAGCTTGGGCTTGCTTTGATGATGGGGTAGGCTTGCTGTGCTTTTGCCCTTCTGTGGGCTTTCATCGAAGGAAAGTGGGCTTGATAGGCCCAAGTCTTCATTTGTAGGATGGGTCATGTAGGCTTGGGTCTTTCATTGGGGCACCCTGTGGGCCAATGAGTATAAGCTTGGGCTTTCTTAATGTGGCTCATTTGACGACTCAGTACATGGATGTCACGAGAATATGGAATCTTTTCTACGTAAGCTGGGTTGTGCAAAGTTTGTTTGTTCATACAGGCAATGTGATTTTGGGATCCAGCCAGTTTTTCACTAAATAGGCATGATTGAATTCAACTGCAGAAAAGTAGTGCGGAGAACAAGTAAGAATTGTGCCTGCCAAAATCCTAGCGTGACGTGGATGATCCGCAGAATCCATTGCTGACTTCACCACGATCGATTAGGTAAACGATTCTGCAAAGTTTGTTTGTTCATACAGGCTGCGTGGTTATAGTACTCAGATTGTGTGCCAGCCATGCAATTCCAATTCGTATGATATTACTCTACCACTCTATAAATGGAGGCTGGATCCATTGTTCTAACACTTCTCAAAAGGAAGTTTAGCACTCTACGGTGCCCTTTGAATTTCATTTTGAAGTTGCTCCATTTCGGGGGCAATTGCAGAAAGCCTGTTTGCAGCATCCATTTACAGAGTCTCCATTTCAAATTCAAATCAAAGAAATTTAGTAGTAGCACGTCCATTTACAGAGTCTCCATTTCAAATTCAAATCAAGTAGCACGTATGGCTATGGAGGCTGCAAACAGGCTTTCTATAATTGCGGCCGAGGTCGAGGAGTGTGGATGGCTAGCCAAAGAAGTCGCTGCTTCAGTTCAGCAGTGATACCCGTCATATTACCAGTTTCATCAATTAAGTATGCTTTTATTTCAGTATATTTTTTTCACCACTTGTCACTATTATTTTATTTAATCGATCAGTTTATCTTGTTACAGGTATTACAGTACATCTTGTTACCGGTATTGCAAGGAGGACTGTTCTGAAGGAGGGAGGGACCAAAACAATGATTATCATGTTTATTGAGTTTTCATAATGATATTTGAAGTAGGGGAACTAAATGACATATTAATCATTCAAACCCATCCACGAGAAAGCATACACAACCTTATTTCTGTGACCATGAATGATCAAGCAGGATTGTAAAAAAATGTCTTTTTAAGTGTTCATTACAAACGAGGTCCATTGCCAAAAATCAGAAGCTTCAAGCGACTTATACGAGAAACTAAATTTCATATTTTGATATGGCCATGCATTTACACTCAAATACCAATTCATTGAGTGACTGGAAAATTACAATGTTACATGTATGCTAATCATACAACATATAATGAATGCATCCATTGCGTCTTACTTATAGCAGCTCTTATGGTAAAAGTAAAACTTCCTATAATGTACGGCTGCTGTTTACAATTTAGTGATCTCAGATCTGTAGAACCCTAATATACAACAGTAGTACAATGATCCCCATTTTGATTACTCTATTATTACTACTATATTGAATGATCTTACTCTTCTGCAGGAGGGTCCACCCAGCGGCCGTGATCCTTTATTAGTTGGATCAAGGCATCAGTTGCACGCTCCATGTCAATCCCTCGTTTAACCACCGTCTGAAATATAAAACAACTCACAATTGAAGTTCAATTCAAAGTATTTGGAGACAACATAATAGCAGTGAATAAGGCTCAAGTGTTGTGAAACTGCATTATATGAACCTAAAAGTCTGCGACTGCACACCACTTCTTTCGACCTACTGTTCTCAAGGACTGGTCCACAAATAAGAATTGGGGGACTATGAAGCCCGTGATGGAGAGTGAATAGTGAATATGAGGTATACACAGGTGAGGCTTCCTTTATCTCCAAAGTAGGGTTAGAGACTTAATCCCATCCAAATACGTCCAATCTTGCTTTATTATCTCAAAGGTCGACTATACAAGGCTTCTAAACTATTCTTGAAACAATGGGAACCACTTAATCAAAGAACAAATGCCTAGAGAGTGAGATATCAAATTTGGACAGTGAATCATTGTGGTAGATATAGATATAGGAATCTGCACCTGAAGCGATAACATGTCAGAAAGTGCACTGTGGCACCTGGCCAGGTGCTGTCTGGCACCTTGTGTTCTTAGTTTTTTTGTGCTGTTCATTTTATTTTTTTCAAAATATTTTGTTTCTGCATTTTCATACTTCAAAAGTTCATGTATTTTCCATCCAAACTTCAATTTTCGTGAACTACCCCAGCATAAGAAAGCTTAAAGAGTATACTTGCACATAAAATTGATTCATCTCAATCCAATTATTTTGATGTAAGCAAAAAATCACAACAAAGTCCTTTATTAAAACCAATTTCAATAAAATACTTGCATGCACTTTAATACGGAGTATTAATCATATTGAGGCCAACCGCATTAAAATACAGTATTCCAATTGATACTATTTTTATGTGACTCTAATAGACATGTAATCCTGATTAGCAAGGATATCGAATTTTCCTATTTATAAGGAAAACTAAAATTGTACCTTCCCGACATAGAGGTCAATCTTTCCTGGAGCACCACCAACATACCCAAAATCTGCATCAGCCATCTCCCCTGGCCCATTTACGATGCAACCCATGATGGCAATCTGCAATAGAAAAAAAAGAGAGCAAAATGACACCAAAGATTGTGTGTACTAAAATTAAAAGTAGTGGCAATCAATGTCTTCAAATCACTGAGTGCAAAAGGATTTGATAATTACTGAAACACCAGGTAAGTGTGATGTCTTTTCTCTTATTTCTGCACTTATTTCCTGAAGGTCAAATAAAGTTCTGCCACAGGATGGACATGAAACGTATTCCTGCAATAACAGTTGGGCATTCATAAATAAATCTAAATAAACAGCATTTAGTTGTTATTTCTTCGCTTTTTCAAACCAAGACTCCCTACCGTCTTTGTATTCCGCATTCTGCAACCTTGTAGCAAATTGAAAGACGTATTTCTAAGAAAATCGAAGTCCTGGTCAGGGGCTTCTAAGAAAAGACCATCTCCAAGTCCATCTACTAAAAGGGCCCCTGCATTGGTTCCAGCACCAATGACTAAATCATCCCTGCAAATGACAAGAATTAGTGAGAGCCAATATGGTCATACATCCATCTTACTCAACTAGTATGAATTCTGTAATTACCTGTGGATCCCTTTGGGAAATTGTATATGGTGAATTACAGGGAAGTTCAAAGAATTCCCTGAAAGAAATTCAAATAGCCTGCAGCCAACAATACATTCAAATTATCAGGACCAAGGTAGATGAGAATTGAAAAAACCTGTGGCTGTGACCAAAAATATATATATATATATATATATTGATGACACTTTTATTAGTTAAGGATCTTAAAGAAGGAAAGATAAATTAGCTCCCACACTACAGTCTATTTACACTCTTAACTGCTGCGTAGGCAACTTTGACAGACTGCATACCTGTGTCCAGTTTAAGGCTCATATAAGACACAACTTCCAACTGGCTACTTGAGGTAAAACATAGGCAAAAAGGTATATCCATAGTTTCATTTTTTTCTTATTATTTTTAAGAATTAAGATCAGTACTTTTTTTTCTTTTTTCTTTTTTTTTTTTTTTCGGTGGTAAAAAGGTCAGTACATGATAGACCACCAGCAATGTCTATCAAGCGCTCATACATACTCCCTCATGTGCAATCCCGTCCAGTACGTGGTGAAGCAAACAATGTCGAAGAAAACAGAAAGGTAAGAGATACGGAATGGGGGAACAGCTGCAGATATAGAAACTTGAATCCAAGATCTCCCAGAGTCAAAGCTCTGATAACATGTTAGACTGTCAATTGGCCTAAATTTAAAATTTTAAGCCCCAGGGCTTAGCCGATGTGGTATCTCCTCTTCCTTCCAAATGGAAGGTTCAGGTTTGAGTCCCAATGGAACAAATGGTTGTATATGTGATTGTGTGCGTGTGATTTACTGCTACCGAACAAAATGTTTAAATTTTTATGGAATGGGCCAACAATGTGTATCAAGCTCTCACCGTACATATGTATAAGGCATTCTTAACATTAGAATGAGTCTCTCTCACTACTCATGCATGTATAAATCCATAGGAATCTACATGCATGCATACATCACGCGCTTGATGAACAACTTCAGTAAGGGATGACTAATTGCCTAATTGCTATTAGCTAATAATAATGGCTTGTAAATTTTTTAAAAGTAACATTAATACCTCCTGGCTGCATGTACTCTGCCTATTTTCTCTTCAGTAAATGGTAGATCATGGAAAAGCATTGTAGCATCAATACTTTTTAGGATTTCCAAGTCTTCGTAGGGTTCATCTCCACGTACAGACACAACCAAGCGTGTGCCTGAGAAGTAGATTGTTTACACAGGTTCAGCAATAGCATCTAACAGCATAAACATAGTGTGCCTAATTCAGAAAGCTCAGAAAACAGTAACACAAGCATCACCTTCAGGCAAAAGCTTGTAAGCACCAGTGGATAATTCGTTCAGATTTACCAGGACCATAGCATTGGGTAATGATTTTGTCAGTTGCTCCGACAAAGGAGTTATAACCCCCATACTTATATCTATCAGTCTCTTGAGAGCCAGCCTCTGATCATTGTATGAAGAATAGTATCATGTCATTATAAACCTTTAATGAATTGCAGAACAATGCGTAAAATTGTTTAAAAGACAAGGCAGAGCCTAGACATGATCAAAATAGATAATATCATTAATATTTTATCAAGGTAATGGAGCAAGAGGGATGAGGGGTACTTACAGAGTCGATGTCATCTAATGGTGGAAGCTCTCTCAATAAGATTGAGTCCACTGTAGCCAGGTCCTGAATCCAAATACAATTAAAATCTTAAGATTGTGATGCATAACTACACAATTTAACTGCCCTGCAATGATAATTTCATGCAATAAAGCGAAGTAGGAATGAACCTTAAATGGCATGCCAACGACAAGCTTGGCTGCTAGTGATTTGTAGAGAAGTTCAGGGGTCTGGAAAAGGCAAAAGAAAAGGAAAGAAAAGCTGGAAATTAAACAACAAAACTGATTAACTGTAGCAGCTAAAACAGATTCCATGCCATTAAGTAAAGCTATCATACCATCACTCCTAAAATTCATGATGTGAGCTTAATAGACTAATTAGGAAATCAGAGTTAGTTGAAAATCTACTACGTGTGCGTGTGGGACGACCCCTCTGACACTATTTTAGTAATACTGTTACTTGTCAAAACAAAGCATAAATTTTTTAAGCATGTCCTGCATATATTTTTGTATACGGTTAGTTTAATGAAAAATTATTACAGTGGGTGACAAGAAGAAGAAGAAAGAATATAAATGTGTGAAGTTGGCTGTCACTTTGGTTTTGTAAGAAAGCCAACAGCTTTACATTTCATTTTGTAAGCAGGGTTATAACCGTGCAGTTTTGTGGCAGAAAGCACCACATTTGAGATCCAAGATAATTGCTTTTCAAACCTCAATAAAAATAAGATGGTTCTCCATATTCATCTCTCTGTGTCTTCCTGCATCCCTCTGCTATTAATGACCAAGCCTAGGGACTCTGATTTATCCTTTAATCAAGGGGTTTTAACAAACTCAACAATGTACAGCAACAAGAACTATATCTTGCGTGACAGTGCTAATAAGAAGGAAATAGAATAACAAAAGTACAGTTCCAAGAATGACCTTCAATTGATCCAATGTAACAGACAAGAGAACAGAGCCATCACGGTGCAGGACACCTCTATAATCCACCTCTTCACCCTGTACTTAGATCAAGCAACAATTGCCAGTTTAGCAGTTTAAACAAAGCAATAAGGAGGCTCAACATAAAAATTCCATAAAAAGTTTAAATCTGACCTCCTTTTGCAATGGCAATTGACCAGTTCTTCGTTGAAAATCGAAGTAGTGTCTGTTCTTCTCTTCAAATGGAACCTGATTTATAAAAGCCATTAGAGCTAATTCGAAAGGTCTTTTACAAGGTTAAAATTCACTTAAGCCAAACTTATCAACGGATTATATTGTAGAATTCTACCACTCCTTGCTGAAGACCAGATGCTCTCATACCAAGGTTTGCCAGCCTTCTACAGGGGTCTATCTCCTCCTCTGGAGGTTCTGTGAGGGAGACCCTGATTGTATCGCCCAAACCATCCTGTTATTATACAAAGTTGTCGAGTATCATGATTATCACTATTCACATCACAGCGAATGCACAATTGTTCTTCAAACTACCATAGCAATACAGTGAAAAAACTGAACAAACTAGCAGAATTTCATGCAAACAAATGCAACTTGACAATTGTTCTTCAGAATCACATAAGCCTACTTATATGTACACTTGAAAATAATCCCAAATCACATAGATTTTTTTTCTTAAAAAGAATAAAAATAAAAACTGCTAGAACCTATGAAATTTAGACAACACATTATGAACATATAGTTCCAAATAGAGAAATACCATCTATATGGATGTGGAATTTTTAGAATACAATAGCATCCATACTAGGATAAAAAAAGTACCTGAAGAAGGGTTCCGATGCCAATTGCAGATTTCATCCGTCCATCCTCACCTTCACCTGCTTCAGTAACTCCCAGGTGCAGTGGATAATCCCATCCTTGAACATACATTTCAGCTACTAGCAGACGGTATGCCTGGACCATGACAACTGGGTTGCTCGCTTTCATTGAAAAGACAAAATTATGGAAATCCAACTTCCGACATATTCTTGCAAACTCAAAAGCAGATTCAACCTGTTTCAGGCTCTTGATTAGCATAAAATCACTATATTTGGAAGTACACTCGAACAAAAGAAGCTCTTGTAGAACAACAAATGTGTGATAGAGTCATCACCATTCCCCTAGGAGAATCCCCATAGTAGCTCATTATACGATCTGAAAGGCTCCCATGGTTTGTCCCAATGCGCATTGCCCTTCCATATTTCTTGCATTTCTCAACCAATGGAGTAAAAACCTGGCATTGTTAAAAGCAAAAAAGTGAAGAGACATTTACACATGGAGTTACATTATTAGGCCAAATTGTCTGCAAATATGAAAATAGATTAGCGGACGAGGGGAAATAATGGATGATAGCATCACCAGTAGAGTGATTCTTGAAGTGAATAATTCATTTCCTCGAAAATTATTATCACAGTAGCAATTAAGCCATACTCAGGTGCAAAAATTGTTACTCTGCTACAAACACAAACACACTAAACGTCTGGCACACACTATGCAAGGACTTCTAATCTCACTTCATCTCTGCACTCTCCGTTCTTTAAGTTATTTGATCTCCAACTTGAAGAGAACTTGGCGGTTACTATAGCGATGGATGTGTTCTTTCATCTTTTCAATTTCCTCAATCCTTTCTTTTTAACATTTTTTTTTTTTTTTCCTTCTCTCCCTGATATCATCACCTATCCAATAACAAACTCCATCATTGAACTTAACAATTAACATGGTGAAATATGTGCTTATTCGGTATGAAGTGCTTGCACAGCAATGCAAGTTTGTAATCATTAGAGAGTTGACATTTTCTTTTCTTTCTTTTTTTCTTCTTCCTGAGAAAAGGTGGCCTAAAATTGTTAGGTGGTCTGACCTGCTCAATATGTTCTAGTTCTTTTTGATAGTCATCTTCTGTGTACTCCAGCTTTTCAAACTGGGCCCGTCTATCAGCTGCAAAGAATCACTGCATTAGTTCCTGAATCATCACCATCATTGCCTTGATCCCGTGGGTGTATTAATCCCAGAATAATAAATAATAATAACAACAACAACAACAACAACAAGAAGTTAATGGGTGATTAACAGAGTACCAAAGTTTCCAGGGTTGACACGAATTTTGTCAAAGCATTCAGCAACCCGCAGTGCAACAGAAGGAGCAAAGTGAATGTCTGCCACCAGAGGTATGTCATAACTGCATAAAAAGTAAATTACTCAGATGACATATATATATATTCAAAACTGATATTTATAAATGCCGAAAATATTTAAATAGTCAAGACCTACTTCTTCTGAACAAGGGAGTTCTTAATTTCAAAACATGCATCTGCTTCTCTTTTCCCTTGCACCGTTATCCGGACAAGATCAGCTCCCTTGTCAGCTATTTGCATCACCTGTTAAACATGAACTCATCACCTCATTGTCAACCTTGAAAAGACAGAAAAATTTCAAGAAAACATGTTTGTATTGTCAAAAAATCAACTTTTCTCTCATTTTCATCCATTTACTTGTATTTAGTACATAGCATCAATAATGGCCAAAGTAACTTTTTGAAGATTCATGAAGTCAAGTTCTCTAAAGCCTGAAATATTTTACAATATACTTCAGTACTAAATATGCAAAGTTAATTTCTTTCATGTTAGTTATACCTCCATTCTCGTTTGAAATGTTGGAGAATAGTGTTGGTCATCATAAAAGTGAATTACCCAATATTGGTTCCACTACAACAAGGTCCTGGAGAGGGAAGACTCAAGACAGACCTAACCTTTGGTATTTCAATGTTGGTCATTATAGTTTCTCTTAACCACATTGATGGCTAGTATCAGAGTAAGCAGTAGTAGACTAATTAAACAGCAGGCCACAGAGAATAGTCTGATTTAAGAATGTTTATTCTATGCTGTTCTATACTGCTACATTTAGGAAATGTACTTTTTCTTTTATTTATTAATTTACATACATATATATTTATTTGGAAGGGAGGAGGGGGGGAGGGAGAAGGGATTTGAAAAATGTAATTGCACATATATTCATTGGTCAGTGCAAAAATATATATATATAACCCAGATGACCTATGTTGACCAAGTAAACTTATGGCTAAAGGCAGCATACATGTGTAAGAGAGGACCAGGAAGTTAAAAATGCATTAATAGAGAAGGGGAAGGCCAAAAAGGAAGGGACAGATCTAAGTGATGAGAATGATTTTAGGATACATTAACAGAGTTCTGTTATGAATTATTATATCCAATATAGCATGGAAATGCAAACAGTGATTCCTACTGATTATCGGTCAATTTGAATTAACAATTAGTCCACAACGTAGGTACAGAAACAAATCACTGGTACTGAGAAATAACACGTTAACAAACACCAGGGGTAAACATGTATATAAAGGAAGAATAACAACATTCTTTTGATATGATGTGATTGATACAAATTAACTCTTAAATCAAAATAAATCTATATAGCTGCAGCTTGTCACTTGGTTTTGAAAACATCACTCTTTTCTCTAAAACCCAGATGCTGAAATATAAGAAAAAGGAAAATAGAAGCACCTGTTCAACTGTTGCCGCGACATCCTTAGTGTCGGTTGTAGTCATAGTTTGAATTTTTATAGGATGTTCGCTACCAATAGCCACATTTCCGACCATCACTGTGCAGGTTTTCCTCCTAACAGTTTTGTGTATGGATTCACAGTACTTCTGCCTAGGAACTACATCCAAGAAAATGTTTAATCAAATACTTATTATAAGCATATTTAGTAATATTCTAACAATAAAAATTTCTGATTCATTTTTTTCCTTTTTGGTATGTAATTTTCTGCTTTGTTGCTGAGCTAAAACGTCTAAAAGAAACATAACATGTCAAAAGTTCAAATTTCAAGACAGAAGTATCTGTCTAAATTGAATTTAGTGTTTATTATTTTCAAAGATCAACTAGAATCAAAATTTTATTACCTATCTTCTTCCATTTCTTCAAAAACCAAACAAATAAAAATTGATAAAAATAAAAAAAAAACTTCTCAGACAATTTGAAACCTGTTAATTTATGAAATATATATATATATATATATATATATATTTTAAAACCTGTTAAATGTGCATACAAAGACAGTTCAAATAATTTCCAGCACAAAATAGAAACCACTATTATACCCAATAGAGGACTCCCTTCTGATGCAGGCCGAAGTTCGGCAATTTCTGAACCAGGGTTTGAATTTTTGATGACTGAGACCTTTGTTCGACGAAACTTAACCCTCTGCACGTTACAAACTCTCACAAAATCACCACTTTTTGCAAACCCCAAGCCACAGTCCTTGCCCTTCAGACCCGTGAAGGAAGCTGGAACAGCTCCGGTCGCCATTTTCACAGTCAACAGCCCTCAACCTTCACAGTTCCATACCACAACAAAACACAAACTCAATTAATCCAGTACAACTAAATTGAAATATGAATTCAATAAGTTTGATTTTTAATCTTCTACTGAAATATTGTCTTTCTTGTTCTCCTCATCAGCAACCAAACATTCCATTTTTTTTTTATCCAATTAAATCAATTCAACTCGCACTCAAAACTGTAAACACAAATCAAAGATACGATTTACCTTAGAATTCTCTAATTTAGCATTAGAAGCTCAATAATTTATGAACTCCAAAGAAGCTTGAGCGATTATACTTACCAATAGCTCAAGTGGTGTTGGGGCTTTATGAAGCTGAATTGATCGGCCGATCAGTTGGAGTCGAAGGATCTGGATATATATATATATATATATATATATATATATATATATATATAATATGTGTGTGTGTATTTAGAGAGAAAGAACTTGTGGTGGGCGAAGTTTCAGAGGCCTGTGTTTGGAATGGTTTTCAGAAAAAATTGGAGATTTATTAACAATTTATAGCAACATAAATTAGTGAAAATATTGCATATACTGAAACAAGACAAATTGCGTTCTTCAGCATCTTTTGTTTATTTGTTTATCCTACCACTATCCAAATTCTAATATCAATTGGAGGGGCTAAAGTTGTGGTGATTTATAATTCTGACCCAGTCTTTTTAACATAATTTGATGAGTCAATGAAATTTGTGTTAGTTAGCAGTTGAGACCCTCTTTCAAAAATGATGATCCGAAAATAATACTTACCCAGAACACTTTCACCAAAAATTCTGGTGGAGACGTTTGCATCCTTGAGATGCATTATGGTGGGAACCCGACTCACTTGGGTCCCACCAAAATGCATTATATTGATGTAAAATTTTTTATCAAAGACTTTTGGCCGGTATATCTTATAACATTTAATTTGCAGTTGAATAAAATTGTATTCATTACAATTTCTAAATTCGTTTTGATAATATTTTATAATACTTTTTTGAAGTAGATTTTCTCTATAGTTGTTATACGCACCAAAATGACGTTGTTTTAGTGATAAACAGAACCGAATCCCCGCACAAGAGGGAATTTAGGTCCAGCATTTTCTGACGTTAAGAGAGTAAGAGACAACTACATCATTCCAAAAAATCATGAATATGCTAGTAATAATTTTGCATCTCATATGAAAGTTTGGAGTTATTGTATCTATCTACTATAAATAACACAAATTTATACTTTACTATGTAACTAATTCCAAAATCAACAATGATCGAGTCCTAAATGTTATTGTTTTGTTATTGTATTTTAGAACTTCATTGCAATTAAGTATATACACAAATATTGAACTGATCACAAACTTTCTTTGTGTCAAATGCAAACTAAATAAATTTTTTCGTAGAATACAAGATGTAATTATTTACGTAGTAACATAAATTTTTAACAACAATTTGCAAATTTAATTCGTGTGTCATCTTTTAGGAAAGTCTATTAGAATTAGCTATAGTGATAATTACCTTTCCATGTCACAAATGATGCCTCATTCGCTGTTTAAAGGGGAAAAAAATGAGGATTCTAAGTTTTGTTCGAGATAAATGAGATTGTGTGACTCCAACCGATAGTATAAATAAAAATGAAATGAAGTTGAAGAGAATAATACCACTCATGAATAGAGTTAAACGAAAGTACAAGGGCTGAAATGCAAAAATCTCGAGGAATCTACTAAATACAGTTTACGTTATTCCGTTGGGCGGGCTAACCCATTCGTATACACAACCACGCGCAGAATCGCACGCGTGTCCACGCGACCACGTACGTGATACTAATATTTTATTGGCGCGTGGGTAGCATGCACATTATTGGTAGTATATGACTCTCTGTAGTTGACTGATGAGTCCTTTTACCGTTAGTTGATAACTTGATACATAACAAAGGACATTTTGGGTATTATAAGGATAATTTAATTAAATTCAACTACCCCCACGAGGATCACGAATCAATGTTTTGACAAAGCCACGTGATCCAACACAAAGAGTTTAATTCAGAAATTGATATTACATAAAGTATTTATTTTTTTTATTATGTAATGAACACCCTAAGCTCTCGTTATTGGTTGATACAAAGACTCTTTTGTATAAATGGTTGTGCTGGTCTAGTGCACGGGATGTGTTGAATATCTTTTTCGCATAAAGAGAATTTTTTTTTTCTTTTGCTTAAATTTAAATATTAATTAAATGTTACGAAAAAATAATTTAGTAATCAATTTCAAACATCACAATCACATGAGTTTTTTTGAGTGACTGGTTCATCCATAAAAGCATGCTCAATTGATTGTTTAAATTAGCTGTCACATTCAGATTCTGTATTCGCACAAGAATCAGTTGATTAAATTTTGCTTTTTATTTTTTATTTTTATAAAGATAAAGAATTGAATCATTAATCCCAATTCTTCTTTTTTTTCATGTCACACCAACATTTTATTACTGTGCATGTATATAAAGCAATGTCTTTTAACTATCGAAATCGTAAATATTCAAGTTTTAATCTAATATTAATTACACTATTTATTGAGTGTCATTTAATTTGTTTTGTATAACAAAAGTCTTCTTGTTTTCCCTTCTTTTTCTTTTTCTTTTTTTCAGTTTTTTTGCCTTTTCTAAAACTTGTAAAATGGAATTTGGAAGAAAAAGAGTTTTTAGTGCATAGTTTATTTTTGGTGCAAATTTACGAAAATGATGTAACCAATAATTGAATATTGTAAACAACAACACGTTTATCTCGCGAACAATATTTAAAACAAAGTGTGTATCTAGTGACACTCTTTTGAGGGTCCCATTCCTAGGTATTATAATCTCTCCATGTACCCCCACGTCTCTTCACGCGTAAGCAGAGAGAAGAACAAATATATCTACCGTTTTCCTTGAGGTATCTATTCATAGATTGACTCTGCAATTGAACCAAACACATTTAGGAGGGTATCTATTTAAAGATTGACTCCGCAATTGAATCAAACACATTGATGTTATATTGTGTTTGAAAGTATTGAATGTACCTTTTAATTCAGAACACATTTGCACCTTATTTTTTTAGAGTGTAAAATCGATATTTTGGATTCGAAACATGGTATTAGTATTTTAAAACACTAGTCGTGCTAAGTTAACCTATCTTGCATAGAAATTTTAATTGATTTGTGATTTTCAAGATTCAACTATAGTTCGTCGTGTCGGTCGATATGTTACTTTTTTTCAAGGGTCTCATGCGACTAGTTCGGTCAATTTATATTGAAATTGTCTGAATTCGTTACACCACGACTAATATTGCAAACAATGGATTAAACATTACCAATAGTGAAAGACTAGTGTGTGTGAGAGAGAGAGAGGGGATGCTCTTGAGTGTTAAGAGGTAAGTCACGTAATTCTTCTAAACAGGTGTAACTAGCATACGCAAACGCATGCTCTTGATTCTAATTCCATTGTGTGTGTTTAGATTTTGCCGCTTTCACGCTCTCACACCCGTTCTATGTGACTTAGGTTCAGAGATAAATTTAACAGTCTCTCACACAATTCAAGTCCACGAGCAGCCCAATTTTTTGGCACATTTAGTTCAAAAATCAGTGTGATTTGGTAAAACAATAAACAAGATGCTATTACGTAGTAGTAGTAGTAGTAGTGCAACACAATTGCAGAAACAAGTTTGAGAGAGATCAGGGAGAACATTTTAAATTGTTAATTTTTACTATTAGTTTTACACCTTAATTTCCTTGATGCATCAGGATGAAAAGAAAATTAATTTTGCATGAAAGGGTAACAGAAAGAAGCCAACTAAAACTAAATGAGAAAACCTAATAAGAAATGAATTTATATATATATATATATATATATATATATATATATATATATATATATAATAACAATAATAATAATAATAAGATGAAGAAGAAATGTATTTGCAATAGGAAAGAGTGAGGGAAAAAAAAAAAAAAAAAGGTGAATTCATGTGACTAAAATGGGATAAAAACCATAATAAGAATCACGGAGATGGTGGTGGTGATGATGAATTCTATTCGCTGGTAAATAATTTATAATTTATCACTAAATGATTAATAAAATTTTAAAAATTTGTTGATATCTGCATATGTATGTTAAAATAAAACTACTACCAATATTAATTTGGTGGAATTATAGAACCAAAAAAGAAAAGAAAAAAATTAGTTCTTTGTGTTACTTAAGTATTTACTTTTGAGGGGGTGAATAAAGTGTATAGCAAACAATGGCTAATTTGGCTAATTTTTCGATTTATAGATATGTAATTTGATATAAACAACTCATCTAATTGTGCAACAAGATAGATAAGTGAATAAGTAATAAAAGCACAATTATAAAGGAGATGAGGAAAGAGAAATTGCAAACTATGACAAGTCAATTTAGTGAGATTCGGAAACTCCTACTCCTTGACTCGATTCGAAAATCCACTAAGGCTCCTCCTTTGTGGTGGAGAGCAAATCTTTATAATTTTGAAACGAAATTACTTCTTCTTCCTTTACTAAGAGAAACTGTTGTAGGAATTCCACATAATTATAAAAATAACACAAATACAATAAATCAACTCAACATTACACAATGAAATAAAATAATAAATAATTTATTATCGAATAAATTTGAATAATACATTAATAACACTTTACAATTCTTTCAATAAAATGAATACAAAAATATGGACAACATGGATATAAAGATAAATAAGGATTTAACAATATAATAATTCTGCAATAGGAAATTAATATAATAATAGAAATTATGAAATGAAAATAATATTAAAATAGGTAAGAAAGTGCTGGCCTGATTGCTGAGGCATGTGTAAACACATTGACCTAAAGCTGATGATCCTTTCCTTCATGCGGGTATTAGCGAAATTAGTCAGCTCCAAGATACAACCCAATCAGCTCGCAGCGGTGTCTCCTCCTTGTGCACGACTACAGGAAAACCGAGTCCAAGTCTATATAAGTCTAGTTGCTCATAAACTCAATATGTAAAATAATATACACTAACATCTCACATAAGAAAGAGTTTTGGAGATAGATTATAGAATAGAGAGAAGAGTTTTAATCACTTTATATCATCACTCATACATCAAACACTTCTCTAAAGAAAAATGAGAAGTCTTCTCTTCATATAGAATAATAACTATAACGGTTATCCACACTTAATATAATATTAAGTAAAAATTAAAATGATTAGATTAAATATAATTTAATAGTATTTAATATAATATAACTGAATATATAATTTATAATATATTTATTTACTTTTATTAAAATATTTCTCAACAATCCCTACCTATTTTAATAAAATAAGTAATATAAATAATTGAGCAACTTTTTACTATGCAATTGACATAGGTGCTTTTTGGGTTTGAACTTACACTTAGTGTGATAGTCTCCATTTGAGAAACCTGAATGAATTAAGTCATGAATTCGGTTCCTTGAGCCAAACTTCAACATACCAC